CACGTCATCTAATGTCATTGATAAAAGGACGTTAAGAGGCAATTCCGACCATCCACCCCTCCTTCCCGTCATTAGTGGGGTAGATTCCGGTGAGGGATCTAGCTCACCAACGACGCTGAATCGCTCGATGATTTCACCGAAACCGCACTGCCCTCCAGCTTTCGTCATCGGTCCTTTTTGAAACCTTCGAAAGAAATGAATCCTCAGACCTTGCTGAGATCGATCTTGTGTGAGGCAAATCGCCGTAGGCGCCATGTGTATCGCAATGCGTTGAAGACAGCGACCATCCATAATAAGTGAAGAATTATGCAAACTATGGTGACAATCTCCAAGGCGAAGTCCTGGAATAATTGACATAAAAGTGATTTTTTTGATACTTTGAAGGCAAGATTCGGGATAAAATAGGTGTGGAAAAGCGTTCAGTTATGAAGCTAGAGGTGGGAGGTGGTCTGGAAAAGAGAAGGAAAGCAAACGAAACCACCGATTACGCCCCGCACAGACCTCCCCTATTTCAGCCGCATTCCACCTTGGGATAGAGAAGGGGCGCGTTGGACGAGTTTCACGAACCTAACTCTAGTTGCTCCAGTGCCAATAACATTGGGTCGCAATGGGACCGCTGCCTCAAATGCGCCCGCGCTTTTCAAGCAGCGCCACGTGGCAACCGACAGCGGAGGGTGGGGCTTGCGGACGAAGGTGTGAGTTGCGGGTCGGACGAGCTCCTTGCGCCTTTGTCGCGCACTTTCAAGCGGCAAAAGGGGCGCGACATCAACGCTTGTCCGCCTGTCTACTACCCCGGGATGGAACAGGCGAGCGCGCCTAATCCCGGAGCGTGCCTTTAAGTGACGTTCCACTGGTATTAAGGAGGTACATACGCCAGGCATGGATAAGGATGCTCCATAGATCAACGCGAACTCGCACGCACTACTAGTAAAAAATAGTCGCCAATTATTGGCCATTTAGACGTGTGTACCGGGTTATTTACACTTTTCTATTGGAGAAATGCAAATGATGTTGCACTAAGTCTTCATGAAACATTTCAGGATGCGCCAGGTGTTCACCTCACTCGAAACTGTGGACGTGATTGGATGCATCTAGGATTGTCTACATATCAAATGCTTGGCTTATTAGCGTTGGTTGCGTGTCGTCCATCGCCTGGTATCTATCAGAACGCTACCCTTCCGTTCCCGCTGCGCAGAATCTTTAACTTTGCAATTCCGGTTGAAAATGAACAAACTTATTTAGTTGAAGTATCGGAAATCACCTTCTGGCTTTGAGCATCGCACAGTTTTGAAAAAGCAATCAAGGGCGCGGTACAATTGCGCTATCAATCAACCCTCTCACTTTTACCTTTGTCCTGATCATTCATAGAGAAAAGGTGAAAATATGAGAAAGGATTTTAAAGAAGAAAAACTTCCAGAAGAAAGTGGACGCGGCAATTGAAAGTGATTAATCTTAGTTTAGAACATGAATTGAGGAAGGAGAATTACTTACGTTAAGCCGGGAATGGCCGGAACCCACACTGACGAAGAAATGGAGAAGAATATCAAGAAAGTGAACAGCAAATTCCATCGAATATACTTGTTTGCGGGTTTGGCCACCCTTCCAGCATATGATTCTAGCCTAAAAGAAGACATCTTGTACAGCACCATAGTAGTACTACCATCTCCTCAGAACTCTGAGTAACTCAGTATAACACATTTCCTAGAACTCGCTCGATCGAATAGGAAGAGAATGTCCGCAAGTGGTCACCCTACCACACCATGATTTGGGGAGCCAGGTTTGGATCAGACGCCAACAGCCCAACTAACTCCGAACTCTTTGGGGTCCGTAAGTTATGTTATGTTTATTACATGGCAAGCAGTATGACGCCAGATGACGAAAGCAAAAAAAAAGGAAATAAAACGCACACCTGAACGAATTACAACGAGTGAACATTGAATAGACAATGTTGTCCCCATTTCTTACTAGGGGAAAGGAAGGGGAAACCGGCTAAATCGTCACTGAAATGCGATCGAGATATGATAAGGGGTGCTATAGTTGTTGGGCAAAAACACCTGAATGTCACGTTGCATTCGCTAATTGTCGCATTGACTAAATCAACAATTGAAGGCACTGCCGGGATAAGGGGATCGCCGGGTTATTTTGTCTGGAAATTAGACAAGTGGGACGATGGGCAACGAAACAATAAGCACAATAGAAAACGCTGAAGTTTTCCTAGTGAAGTCGGCCCTAGTATGACGGAGAGACACAGCGCTGCGAGGAGAGGGAAAACGCGAGAGAGCACGTCGTACGCGAGAGGGCGCAGACGCCACATATGCCGCCATTGGATAGAGTGGCAGCGCCGGCAGCGTCCAAGGCCGTAGCACCCTTGCCACGAACTTTTGTGCCGCGGCTCCTAGACTTGAGGACCCCTCTTTCTCTTCTTGGTGGGGCTATCTCTTGGCACCCGATTCCAGCCCGTGGATTCAATTGTCACATTAAGTGCCACTGCTATCCTAGACAGAAATAGAATGCGTGGCGCATCTCCATTTTACTCATGTTAATCCCATTTATTCCTTTACCATTTTGTCGCAGTATTTAGACTAGCCGAAAATAAATGTAAAGCCGAAAGTAAATGAAAGCCGTGAATAAGTAAAGATCGTTGTGCTATTCTTCTCGATTTTTCTCGACCCTCCGAAATCGGGTAATTTAAATCTTTCAACAATTCAATAGTGCAGAGTAGAAATCGAAGCCAGCAAGGTAGGTTCCAAGTAGCATCGAGTGGAATCAAGGAAGAATAAGAAGTCAGAAATTGCGCAGTGCTCACCTTCGCAAACTGCCCGCAAACCCTCTACGAACAGATTTCTTGAACGTGCTGAGAGCGCTCTCACGACGGCGGCTCGGAAATGGCTTGCCATCGGGTAATGAAAATGATTTGTACTAAATTTATTGCTATATGTTTATATCATAAATATCCATATTCTAAGTCACTCATTGAAAGAAACTTACCACTTTTGGCTTCGCTGGAACTTTGTCTCCGATGATGATCTGCTTCAAATCTTCCGGCGAAAGGCTCATTTTGTCCCTCATCGTGATCTTGGGTTTCACTTTGGGGGAGCCTAAAAATTTTTCCCTTATTTAGTACGCTGTATAAGACAACCTCAAAAAATATAACAAACAATAACAAAAACGAAAACCTGAGAGAGCATTACTGAGTAATAGGAAGAATGAAGTGACAACTATGCTTGAAAAATATGGATTGCTATAGAACGCTTGAAAGATGATGAAGGAACAATAAATACTAATCAGCGTATTAATGAAAGGTCTTGCTT